TGGAGAGGCAAAGGAAGAAAAAGGGTGGGAAGTGCCGCGTGGCCACGCAGGAGGCTTGGCCGCAGGCAGCGGGGAGGGAGACAAAAAAAAAAACTGGGGCTGCATCGCCCCTCCCCGCAACCGCGCACGGCGCAGCGCAAGCCCCACAGGGAGGCCACACCGCCGGCCCCGCGGGGACAGAGAGGCGGGACACTCGCCCCAGCCGCCCACGCCCCTCACCTCCCGCCGCAAGCGAGGGCGGCGTGGCAACCCCAAGGCTCGGCGCAACGCGCCCCCACCACACCGCAGCCACCACTGCGGGGAGAAGGAGGCCACAGGCGGCGTTGCAAGAGCCCCGGGCCCCCGCCGCAGGGGTTGCGGACACACGAGGTCAGCGCATGGCATTCCTAATGGTGCGCAGCGCCACACCGCAGAGAGCGAAGAACGGTGCGAACATCAGCACGGAAAAGGGGGCGCGAGGAGACGGCGTCGCCTCCGCGCGAATGCGGCAAAAGTGTTTCATCAGTCTCCTCAGTAGCAGCCCAAGTAATCGCTCAAAATGCCAGCGCCCACACCTGCTTTACACATCTTCTTCCTCTTCGGCTCCTCGTGGGAGAAGAAGGGTCAAACTCTCTTACCTCGTCAGAATGCTGCACCTGACGCCGACGCCTTTACCGCGTCGCCGTCGGCTCCTCCAGCACCCCCACCACAGAAGGGCAGTGGGGACAAGTAGCGAGAACAGAATCGCAACCTCGAACCCCATTAAACGTGAAATAACTTCGGCCTCCTCGACGGAGTAAGCAAGCGCGGGCTGTTGTACGATGTGCTGCGGCCCCGCCTGGTCATCGCAACAGCGAGAGACCACTCGTACACCACTTTTCCGGCGAGAGGAGTGTGGCGCCGCAGCCTCCCCCACCACCTTGCGGATTCGTACACGATAGTCAAAGGCCCTACCGAAATTCAGGCCGTACAGGTGCAGCTCTGTCGCATAGGCCTCGATGAAGCCCCAGGAGGTAAACGGGGACTGCACCATGCCGCCAAACGTGACAAAGTGAATTGTGAAGTCCCCTTCCTTGTGGGCCGCCACAAGCTGCTCATACTCCCAGCGGTGGGTATGGCCCGAAATCACCGCGGCCACGCAGGAATAATTGGAGAGCAGGCGCACAACCTCCTTGTCATTCCAAAGGTTAAGTTGCTTTTCGTAGGGATACATAGGGAAGTGGCAGAATACCAGCACCGCCAGCCTCCGCGCAACGGCGTACTCCAGTTGCATGCGAAGCCACCGCATTTGCTCCTCGCCGATACCACCATTGACAGCCAAAGCATTTTTCCGACGACGATGACGATGCAGCATGGCGGTCGCTTCGTCCCGTCTGGCAGTGCCGGGTCTTGTTGCGAACACCGAGAGATCCGTCCCGTCGAGCACAATGAGAAGGAAGACGCCGCCCTCTCCTGCCTGAAGACTGTAATACCGCGCCGGCATCCCCAACAAACGAGGAACCCCGTCACGGCGTGCGTCGCTCAGTTGAAAAAAGTCGTGGTTCCCAAGCACCTGAAAAAAAGGAAACTGCAGCTGCTTCAGAAGCGAATCAATCACCGGAAGGTTGCTCTCAATATTGTGGTTGACGGTGTCGCCAAGGTGCACAACGAGGTCCAGGTGACTGCGATTGGCATTCATCTCCCGCACGGCGTGCTCAACCTTGGCGGGGCTGCGGCGGTAGTAGCGTCGCGACTTTTCCACCTTGTCGGCGTACTGAATATCACTGAGGACGCCGATGCTTAGCAACGGGCGGCGGTCGTACGCTGGGACCACCGGGTACAACGTACGGTTCTCATAGGCCTTGGGCGGCAGAACCTCCCGGGCGTGGCACACCCACACGACTACGAGCAGCAGCGAGGAACACACGGCGCCTGGCATAACACACCGCACGCTGCCCTAAACGACGCCTCCTCCACCCGCCGTCGCCGCACCGCCCCGTTGAGATCTAACAGGCGCTGCAAAAGGGAAAAGCAGAGGGGAAAATCAATTATTTTTTTAAAGGAAGAAATGGAGAGGCAAAGGAAGAAAAAGGGTGGGAAATGCCGCGTGGCCACGCAGGAGGCTTGGCCGCAGGCAGCGGGGAGGGAGACAAAAAAAAAAACTGGGGCTGCATCGCCCCTCCCCGCAACCGCGCACGGCGCAGCGCAAGCCCCACAGGGAGGCCACACCGCCGGCCCCGCGGGGACAGAGAGGCGGGACACTCGCCCCAGCCGCCCACGCCCCTCACCTCCCGCCGCAAGCGAGGGCGGCGTGGCAACCCCAAGGCTCGGCGCAACGCGCCCCCACCACACCGCAGCCACCACTGCGGGGAGAAGGAGGCCACAGGCGGCGTTGCAAGAGCCCCGGGCCCCCGCCGCAGGGGTTGCGGACACACGAGGTCAGCGCATGGCATTCCTAATGGTGCGCAGCGCCACACCGCAGAGAGCGAAGAACGGTGT